ACAGTAAGTAAGTAACAATATAGGAAATGCATAATTCAATAAAAACTTCATTATTTTCAAAATAAAAGCAGTTTAAAATATATTCTATATTAGTTTTGATAATAACGGAAATCTAATAATAACGGATATCCAATAATACTAATTACAATTTGATTTTGGAATCCTTAAAGTTCATTAACAATTAACAAAAAAAAAAAAAAAAGTGCAATTAATTTTCTATAAAAATAAATTTCATGGTTAAAAAATGCGCATATTTAATTAGAATTTAAAATTTATAATAAAAAAAAAAAATTTAATTATAGAGAGCTACTATATAATGCCACAAAACGCAGCATGAAATTGAATTTTAAAATTTTTAAATAAACAAACAAAAAAAAAAAACAAGACCTATTTTAAATTCATCATCTCCAAAACAAGTGAAATACAAGTAAAAACAGAGAAAATAATGTTCAAAAAAAAAATATAGATATAGAGCTATAAAGAATTGGAATAAAATCACATTAATAAATTGTTAATTTTACAATAATAAAACTTAAATAGATATTTTTCCATTCATCCTAATATGGAATAATCACCGTGTCAATCAATCAGAAAATAAAAAAAAAACAAAAAATAATAAAAATAATATGACAGAAAAAAAAAAAAATATTCAGAGAAAAAATTAAATTTATTGACAAAAAACTCAATATATATATATATATAACCCTAATACACCTTACAGGTGTTATAAGAGATTATAAGAATTTTTTGATATTAAGAAGCTTATAGATTATAAGAAGCTTATATCTTAAATTTAGGTACATTTTTTTACTAATTTAATATTATGTAATTGAATTCGATTTAATGATATCCAATTTTTTTAAATTATATGAAATACATAAAAAAAATTTGAAGGTAAATAAATTTAATTTTTCAAATAAATTGTATAAAATATTCAAATTATTGCGACTTATGTGCTTGGTTCTATTTCAAATGCTATAATTAATCACGCATAGAGGCAATCAGTATGTGACAAGAATCGAATATTTTAAAAAACGAAACTGTGAGCAAATTTATTACAAATTCTTAAAATTCTTATATATAATTCTCAAAATCATTATTTCTGGAAGAATATTTTCAAAAATTACGTAATAAAAAATTAAAAATTACTTTATTGCCATTAATGTATTGTCATTAACGCATCATGAGTGCATTAACTACATTTTATGTAATATTTAAATACAAAAAAAAAATATAATAATTTAAAATTGTATAAGGTTATTAAAAAAAATATAGCCTATAAAAATATTATTACGCGTGTTGGTTATTGCGCTCATTTAAATTCTGTCAGTGTGATTCTATATGAAATTTTAATGTTCTATAAGGAGAAATATAAATAAATAATAATAATAATTGCATTTGAGGTTAAAATTTTAATATTCTTTTCTGTTTATGTTTTTATATTGGATTGTGATTCTAAAATCAAATTTGGTCATTTAACAATTAAATCATGTACAATATATTTATCATATAAATGCATATATCAGGGATGGTTTATATACGTTCATGAGACAAGTAATTTGGAGTAAATACTTTAATTGTAACTACAGCTACAATATAAGCCACAAAATATAATTGCTTATAATTGTCAAATCAGTTTATGAAATTTGTAAGGCTTTTATATGCAGAATATACGGAGAATGACTTTAGTGATTTGTAAATATTTATAGTTGTCATAAAAAATAAATAATTTATTATCCATATTACAAATATTTTTGAACATAAATAAATTGATTAGTCTATTGTTTTTTTTTTAGTAATGCTTTATTAATTTGTAAATTTTATATGATAATTTGATAAATTGTATATTATAAAATCGATTCATTTCTACAATATAATTTTACGGTGTCACACTATTCTTTTATATTATAAATTATTAAATACCGAATAGTAGTTTTTTATTCATTATAGAGAGCGCTAAAATCCATATAAATCAATTAAATTTTTATTAGTCTATTCATTTTTTTTCAAAAAAAATAAATTAGTTTTGAATTTAAATTACCTAAAAATCAATTAAATTTAATTTTTAAAAGAGTTTTTCAATTCAAACGCAGATTTATTTATACAAATTATTTAAAATTAAAAAATCAACATCAAGATCAAGGAAAAAATCTTCAAAATATTGTATGTTAAATACGTGGATTATTGAAGAAACTTGCATAGAATATTAATTTTTATTTTTAAAGTTTTTCAATGTTTTTAGTATATTAAAATTTATTGACATTACATTTTACATAATTGTATAAAATTGTTATACATTTGTAATTATATTCTATGATAATTAATTATTGCAACAGAGTGTACATTAATAACAATTACCTTAGGTGACAAAACATCATCGCGTCAGACTATAAATGAAACTAATTTAATATGACGGAATTAAATTTATTTGAAAGCGGTACCTATACATATTAATTAATATTAAGAATTGTATTAGAATATTTGTAATCGGTTTAATGACTAAATTTTTTATGGTACTGACATGTTTTGCTAATTTAAATTTAAATATAAATTGCATGGACTCAGTAATATTAATTTATATATTTATTGTTCTACAACAATATTGAGTGAATAATTATTTTAAGTTAAAAAGTGTGAACACAAACCTTATATGTTATTAATTATTTTGATACATATGCATACTTACTACAATTATTATAATCTACTGCACTTGATACTTACTATATTTGAATATAGTAATTTATTTATGTAGCTATCTATTGTCCGTTTTAATTATTTACATTACCCCTGGAAAAAATAATTGCAAAAGATTTGACACAATTCGATATTTTTATTATTTTCGGAAATGTGTGACAACTTACGAATATTTGTCCAAAAGTGTGAAGGTTATATATATATTTTTTTTTATTTTAAAACTTGTACAAGGTTTATAATATAAATCTTCTCATAAATATGAAAAAAAAATTAAAATTGTATTTTCTCAAGTATTAATATATTAGTAATATCGTAATCCTTGTACATTTAAATAGTTTTGAATTAAAATTATTATCAAGTACATGCAACCGTTTGGTATAATTATTTCCGAAAAAGTTTCATGACTTCAATTAAAATCATTGAAGAAATCATTAAATTTAATGAAAAATTAATTATTCAATTTAAAATGAAAAGAAAAAAAAATTATAATTTTTATATATATATTTTTTTGTTTTATTATTTTAAAGTAATTCCGTAAGTAATAAATTAAAAGATGACCTCTAATATTATTATTATTTAAAATAATTAAAAATAATTATTTAAGAATTAATGATGTTACCATATGTATTCGTTCATTTTGTAGCATGTCAGTTTTGTGTCAAAATACACCTTATTACCTACAATAATATTGTTATTAATGATTAAATAAAGATGTCACAAAATATTATTATTTTTTTGTTAACAACTTCATAAAAAATTAACAGAAAAAAAAGAAATATTTTTTTTTGTATATGTTTTTCATTTCCAAAAAAAGCGTTGAAATAATTTTTTTTTTCGGTTTCTTTTCGGATTCTTTTTATTTTTGTTGTTTAAAGTTGCTGTGATTAATAATGTGATCAGACGACTGTTGGGATATTATAGTAGATTTCTTCTCAAATGTTAATTTGTTTATTATATATATATAATAATATACCTACATACATAAATATGTTTATTTATCAGTATTTTAGTAGAAATTGCATATTAAATTTTTTTGATAAAATTCCATTATCTTTTCATTTGTACTGTGAAGTTCTTGGTGGATTAATAAAAGTACGTTTTTGCGTTGAATTTTTGGTTAACTTTGCAACTAAAAACCTGTGAACGGATCAATTTTTTATTTTATTTGAAAAAAAGGCAATAATATGAATTATTTAATTATAGTTATTAATTTTTGGCCATCTTTAGTTGATTATTTGAATTAATTCTTCACTCCTCTGTTATTACTCGACAATTTCGAAGAATGTAATTTAATAGCGGAATTAGTTTTAAAGCCTTATTTAGTTTTAATAAACAATTTCAGTTAATTAATTAATTTGGGTTATAATATGCGTTCTTGATATATTATTCTATTAAATCTTGAGTTATTTTTAATAGATTCTCATTCAAATCTCTGATGATATAGTCACTAGTAATAAACCCTGTATAATGAAAATATAACAGTAAAGAATAATAATAATAAAATGAATAAAATTTGTGGTCGTATAGCTTTTTCTCGTTTTTTTTTTTCGATATAAAATTTTTTTATTTTTCATTTCAAATACAATTTACAAAAAAAAAAGAATGAACAAAGATAACTAGAATGATTTTAATTATATAACGTATAATAAATGTATCAGTTTAAATATATATAGAGCTATAAATATGAGAAAAAAAACAACTCATTAAAAATACTTAAAATTATAATTTTTTATTATCAATAAGAATTTTTTGGTACTTTTGCTCTTTTTTTTTTATAATTTATAAATTTAATATTTATAAAAAATGACTTAATTTATCTCCTATTTAATTATTGGAATATGGTATATTTTATTTTTAAATGTAGAAGTTTAAAATAATTCAGATGAAGAAAATTATAAAATTTTAAAAAATATTATGTTAACTTATCAAAATTAATCGAGTCATAATAGAAAATATTTTATAGAAATAAAGAAAAAAAAACACTAAAATATGGAATTTCTAAATTTCCTACCTTAAATTTATCTAAATTTTTACAAATTTTATAATTATCAAGCTATTAGATGTGAGTTAGAGAATAAATTTTAAAGTAAATTTTATATGTTGAGCTTATTACATAGAGCATTAAGGTCAATTATGATTTTCAGTGTTAATTTGACAAAAGATGTTTTGCAAAATTTACAATAAATTTTCGCTTGGTGTCAATTTCGTCACAAGTATAGATAAATTTTAACAAATACAATCATATATATATATCAAATATAATGAAATTGAAGCTAACAAACCTGCAAAAATAGAATACGTTATGTCCGGATGAAACGGAAATGATATTTGACTATTACAGTATTAATTGATGTCCGGGGTAAAATTTTTAAATTATAGTTTTACGAATTAATTATTATAATTGGATTACAAATTTATTTCCATTTAAAAAAATTAACAATTTGTAAAATGCCCTCATAATTCTATTTATTTAAAAAATTATTTAATTTCAGAATTTCACTATACCTATTTATACTTTTGTTGTGGAATTTAATTTGTCAATTAAAATGAGTTTTGTTAGAATTAAAATTTAATTGTTAATATTAAAGATTAACAAAATGGTTGTATTATTTATTTTATATATAAGCTAATTTTCATTTCTTATAATAAATTTTTTAATTTAAATAATCTTTGAGCTTCTGACTATAAAAATCTATGTACATATATATATATATATATATAAATATATGTATGTATATATATGAATTAAATACTTTTCATTTTACAAACGTAAAATTGTGGCAATAATTATTGTTAAAAATATACTGAAATAATTAAAAGTATTTCTATAACCTCCATTATAATATGAATATGGATTACCACCTTCTAAATGATTAAAGAATGGTGTTGTTGATGAAATACCTATACCATTATTATTAATATAAAATGGATCAACTTCTGGTCGTATATATATACCACCAGCTTCAGGTAATATATTACCTGGTCCAGGACCATTTGTAATAACATAACTTTGTCCACCAACTTTTGCTCTTAATATACGAAAATTGACAACATTTGGATTTAATCGACCAGCAACAAAATTATGTAAACGATTGATAACAACAAATAAATGACCGCTTTCATCAAATGTCATACCATCAACCCATTGAATATAGTCATCATCTTGTGCAATAATATGTTGATTATTTGGTGTAAAAGGTTGAAATGAATCCCATGATGCAATAGCATGATCCTTTAATAAACCAAAATATAATATACCACGATTATCCATAATCATACCATCAGTTTGTGAATGTTTTAAACCATAATCTGTTACAGTTTCAAATACTTGACGTGGTGTTGAACGTCTAGGAAATTCTGGATCACGTAATATTGAAGCTGGTATCGAATATAAATGATAACTTGATAATGGTGAATAATAAACATTACGTTCATAATTTTGTTCAGCTAATCCAATTTTTGGTGAATTAATTGTAAGAGTATCACCAGTTTGTGGATTATAGTATGGACCAAGTGCAATACCATCAATATGAATTGAAAAACGTAATTGTGTACCATTAACAGCAAAATCAACAGCATTTAATGCTGCTCTCATTGAATTTGGTTCACGTATTTTCCATGATCTATTTAATCGTTTCGAAAAAACAACAATACCTGGATCAGAACCACTATTGTCTGTTATGTAAGCGAAACTACCAAATGCATCATCGATAACAATTTTATTTAAATAATTTGTACCCCTGGCTACAACCTCTTCAGGGAATTCATAACGATGTACTATTGTTCCATTTTTCTTTAAATCCATAATTAAAAGTTTTGGTGGACATGTTTGAATTGGACGATCTTATTTTAATTTAGAAAAAAAAAATATTTAAAATTTTAAAATAATATGTATTAAATTTTAGAATATTTTTAAATTGGTCTTACCCGGTCTTAAAGTATGTATTCTTCCTGAATCAACAGCCCATAAGAAACCATTACCATCGATAGCAATACCTTGAACAAATTGTAAAGCACGACAATCTCCTTCCCTATTCATTTCCCATGATGGGAACGGTTCTACTAAAGGATCAGTTCTACCATTTTCATCAGGTGTTATTACCCATCCTAATGTTGCTGGTACACCAGGTAACATTCTTGGCATTGTTAAATATAAACGATTTGCAAATGCCTTAGCATCACTTATTAAAATATTTTGTTCAACAAATTCGCCAGCTTGTCGTGCTTGTGCTCTTTCAAAATCTGTTCTATATGCAAAATCAATTGTACGCCATTCATAGACAACACGAAATTGTCTTTCACTAACTGATACTTCCTCTGGAATTCTTGGTTCATTTTGATATATTTGTGAATTAATTAGAACTAGATTACAACTAATTAATAAAACTAATAGAAATAATATATTTATCATCTTGTTGATTTTTGGATTAATTCGATAATTGTTTTACTTTTAAAACCTGAAAAAGAAATAATAAAATAAATATGAATAAAGAGTTAAAAAATTTTATAATACAAACGTGTGATTAATATACAAAAATAAAACAATAAAATAAAATTATAAATACTAAATTTTTATGTTTGACTGTTTTAGTGGTAAATATACCAGGCACCATATATAAATTCAATTTTTATAGCATTAATCAATCAAACAATATTTAAATATTTTTTAATGGTTTATAGTAATTTAATCTTCACCATATAAAACTGATGATTTATATTTTTAATAAATTGTTGATTATCTGAATAATTGAACATTTTTAACAATAAATTTTGTATCATACAAGAAAAATTCAGTAGCGAAAATTTTTTGTTACTTCTTAAACAGTATGAGCAATTAAATGTCAGCAATATTTTTAATTCGAACTCTTAAATATATTCACGTCAGTGTATAAGAGAAAATATTTTTCAAAATCGTAAATTAAAATTGAAAAATTTGATTTATTATAATAAGGACAAAATTAAAAGTAAATATGGACAAAATTACAAAAATTTGTATAAGGCAGAAATCGAATTTCGATACATCGATTCAATTTGAAATTTGCAATAATGAATTCCATAATTCGAGTCTCGAAACTTATTTGATTGAAATTTTATTCTAGTTAATTTGTAATGGCTACAAAATTATGAAGTTTTTAAATTTTCTCGAATTATTATACTAGTAATTCGTATTCTAAATTAAAAAATTGTGTCTCAAAACTTACGTTTATAAGTTTTAAACAAACTGATTATAAATAATAAAGCAGTAGAACTGTTCTATAATACAAAAAGTTGTTTAATATTCGTGTTGCTTGGAATACTCTAGTTTCTTTACTAAATCAATTAAGTTTAATATTTTAATATTTAAATTACGTTTTTATATGATAATTACAATTTACATGTTTGATTAAAGATTTATAACTATAATTTAAAGTTTATTTATATAAGAAATATGTATAATTTTCAAATTAATACAGTAAGTGACTCCATACATGTTGTTTATTTTTTTTTTTAATTTAAAAATTTAAAATCTGTGTATTATTTTAATTTGTTAATTAAAAAATTAGCAAAAGGAAATTAATTCACTAAAGGATGTTAATTAGATGACTAAACTTATATATATATGTATACAATGGGGTACAATGTGTAATATTATTTTTATAGACATGTACATGTACATCAATCAACACAATATTATATACCTAACTTACATATGTACACATATTTTAAAATTTTTTACAAAGCTTCGAATTGTAGAAAGATAAAGTCATAATTTAAAATTTTAAAATATGGGATAGGCAAAAAATCTTTCGTGAGATGATTGCTAATTTTTGCTACTCAATTCAATTATAGGAATTTTATTAAAAAAAAAATGATGAATAATGTTATAAATGTATAATGATTAAAAAAATGTGTAAATTAATTTATTCCCTAAATAATTAAAGAATTTAATTTATTATTATTACAAATTTAAAATTATAATATATTATATAAGTTATTTGTTGTACAATGTGTTTTGAATTTTCATTTTGCCAATTTTTAATTTTACTTAACAATTAAAAACCCATTAATTTATATGTTTATACAAGCATGTTTCTGATAATCATAAATTTCCAATAATCATTAAAAATTAGGATGAAAGGGAATAATTATTTGGGCCTGTTCGGTATTTCAGTCCTTAGTTAGATTTGATGTACAGTATATTTTTTACTAAAATACTGCAAATTTGTAGTGCTTGATTTTGAAGTATTGTTTTGCAGCATGTTCTGTAACGCATGCGGCAAGTAAAATTTTAAAAGAGTTTAAGCACATGAGCATTTTAGAAAATTTCATTGCAAAAGTGATTTCCAACATTAAAATGTCGGACATTGAAGACGATTTTTTAAATTAATTTGAAATTTATCTTTACTTTTTTTTTTCATTTATGCCCTGAAATATTCGCATTTTCAACAAATTCGTAATAAATTCGAGCTTCATTTTTTAATTTTTTATTTAAAATTGATTAGTTAAATCAACAACTGACTTTAATTTTGACATACTTGCGCATAACACAAAATTGATAGGGTCAAACTTTGTAGTACTTCAAATATTGACAAACTTTTTTAATTCTGATTAAGAACTTGCAGCGCATCATGCAATACCGAAAAAGTCTTTTGTTATTATAAAACTTGAAAAATAAGCAAAATATTTTCAAGTAAGTTTCTGCAAAGAATACTTTAATGAATTTCTACAAAAGTACTGTCGGAAGCGTTTTCTTACGACTGCGTAAACAAAAAAGTGTTGTGTAAACTTGCACATGTAAGTACAATAAATTGTTGTGTCGGGCGCTCAACCTAAATTTAATAATATTTTAATTACATAATAAAGTAAAGTATAGACACAAACAAAAAAAAAAGCTGTTCAAACTTTAAAAGAAGGGTTAAAATACTGAAAATATTCCAAAAATTTTTATTTTTAAATTAAAGATAAAGAAGTACATTATGTATTTTATTCTATATCATGAGTGCTTAATCGCATATTTAAATTCTATTTTCATTAATATAATAATTGAATTAGGGTCAAAGTTTTTTGTTTAAAAAAAAAAAAAAAAATATTTTTACGGATGATTATATTTTTATTATTTTGACCTTAAAGATCATTAAATGATATAGTAATAATATGAAGGTAATTTACAAAAACAGAATAAAAAAAAAACAAAATTATTTAATATTTAAAATATTTGAAAAAAAAATATTTAAACGAATATATTTACCATATTCTATACAATATTTACAAAATTTAATTGTCTATAATAAACTTTTGTTTTTGCTTTATAAAACAATGGGGTAATTTAGATTGTTAGCACAGGCAAGGGACATACGCACAAATTTTTCGAAAAATTTATTCAATTAAATTTTAGGTTTTGTTTTATTCTTGTAACCATACTCAAAATTTAAAGTTTTAAAACAAATGTGAATGTCATTGCCATCAATGTCATACATATTTGATAGTTCTCGTAAATTGAGTTTGAATAGTTGTAGCTATATCTTTTGCTCATTTAAATAGAATCATCATTTTCGATAATAGCACCCCTGATCAGAAATGGTAAAATTGAAATCAATTAACTTTATTTAGCAGTTGAATTTATATTGTTCAATAAAATCAGTAATATTGTTGATATTGTTGACACCAAATTTAAAATTTCTGGTCGGGGAAGAATTTTCCCGCTAGGTGGAATTTAACCATCTTTGTATTACAAGAAATTTATAAACATGAAAGAAAAAATTTAAAATAAGTAACATTTTCTATTTAATCATAAAGACCTTGGGAGCAAAAAAATAATTAAAACTTTTATTTTTTAAACATTAATTTAATATTTTTTAAGATTATTATGTGATTTTAATTATACACTTTAGTTAAAAGATTAAACTAAAAAATATTTTAATGCAGCAGCACAAAAATAATTTTAGTGTCAAAGTTTAGTTTAATGTTGTTTCTTTTAACTATTCTAGAAAGATAGAGGCTATTCAAAGCAATGTAATAAGACATAAAAAATTAAATTCTAAATTTAAGAATCCAGTTTAACTTTAAAAAGCGTCTTATGTGAAGTATAATGGCATATAAGAGAAAAATGTTGGTGAGTAATAATTTAATTACATAATTACTTATAACACAAAAAATTTCGATTTTTTTCTTTTTGGGTTCATAAATCAATTATAATGAAATTAGATATGGATCTATCATAATGAAATGCTGAATAATATAATTTAGTAAGAAACGTAAAATTTAAGGCAAAAAAATGTCAAACTTGTCTTGTAATTCTTTTTCACTAACAATATTTATATGTATGTATTTGCTAATCATAAAAATATTTTGATTTTTTATTACAATTTCGCTTTTTTTTTAAAATTATACATATAAAATTTAATTTACAAGAATTATCTAATATGGTGGTTGTAAATCAAAGTTAGAATTGGTGAATAAAATGTGCGGGATTTGAAATTAGTCATTAATACAAAAATAATTCTATAATTTTTTCTTATAAAAATTTTTTTTTTCATTATATTTTAGTTAATCTTTTATGATTTGGCTATTGTATATTAAGTCGCTTTACTATGAGACTTGGTGTAGCGTAGTTTAAGAGATTTAGGGGTTGTTTGTCTATCCCGCTATTTTACTCGGAAAGTGAGTAACTACTGTATACTTGTATAATCTAATTTTCGAGTTACAAAAATTATTTCGTATTGCGTATCTCGTTTTTTTCTCACATGCTTGTTTTGAAAGTGAAGAAAAGTGAGAAAAAAGGCGAGATACAAGATCAGACTGTTAATGGAATGTGAATACTACGACAGTACGATGAGAGTATGAGTTATATTATTTAAGTGACATTTATATTCTGATATATAACATTATCAACAAAATATTCCGAGATTACGAAAGTATATGTACATATATACTCTTGTTCGGAAAGTAGAAAATTATTATTTAATTATTGGACGGCATAATAATATATTAAATAAGCACAAATTTCGATTCTGCTGTATTTCGAAAATTCAGTTTAATACTAAAAATTTTTCGCAATACAATATTATATGAAAATTGTAATATAAAAATATTATATGAAAATTGTCTTCTTTCTCTTCCTGATTTTAGAAAGCTATAGTTAAAATATTAAAGAGCATAGAACATAAAACAAATTTATTCAAAACTTGATAAAATTAATATTCAGTGTGTTATTTAATGTAAAATTGTTATACAATTCAATTTTCTTCCAAAAAAGAAGAAATCTTATAAACTTGCTTGCGAGTTAAGAATATACGAAATTATTGCTTTGTTTATATACGAATTACGAAATTTTTGTTTACGTTTTATGGATATCAGGTGGCGGAGAGAACACAATATGTCTATCCAATGAATATTAACAACATAATAAACATATTAAAATTATGGTAATATTATAATTTAATTTGAATAAAAAATATTTGACTGGTTTTTAAAGATT